ATAAATACATTTATATTTTGCCCTTTCTCTCTAAAGTTACATCATAATTTATTTCTTTCCATAAGCTACCCTTTCTAATATTCAAAAAATCTCAAGTTCATTTTTCTCTTTTATCAAAAAGTTCATAAGGGACTTCTAGTCACTGATAAATATAGTTGTTGATCATTCTCTAATCAAACAAGTTAATTTTGTCATCTCTGCTAGTTCTGTCATCTTCATTAACTATTCCTCCATTGTGGGTATTTCAGAGTCCATTTTTGCACATAAAATAGTCTCACAGCAGTGATCATACATAAAAATAATCTTCCATGGGTCTTATCTAATTGGCTGTCCATTAATCCCAGCAAGAAAAGTTCTGATTTCAACTGAATGTTGATCTTTAAAATTCTTTGTATCATTATATGTATTTGAACTCAGAAATTTCTGGCTTTTTTACAAGTCCACTCAAGAAATGAATTCTGAAACAATGTGGCTTGAGTGTTAAGGTGGATGGTTCTTTAAATGAAAGGACAATTGAATTAGCTGCAAGGGCACATGAGCTATTCTGAATTCATTGTGTGAATGGTTTTTAGATGCTTTGACCCAACATGTCTTTTCTTTCTGTAGCAGAACTCCCGCCACCTTACACTGCCATCGCTAGCCCAGATGCCAATGGTGTTCCTGTAATAAATTGCCGTGTGTGCCAGTCGCTAATCAATTTGGAAGGGAAGCTTCACCAACATGTGGTCAAGTGCACAGACTGCAATGAAGCTACGGTAAATGGCTTTACAGGCTTCTCACTCTATAACATGCTTTACTGGGCCTTTGTATGGCAGCCAAGAATGCAACATGCCATTACAAGGATCACTAGTGCGAGAACAGCCATGGTTATACTTTTAGTAGGAAATGGTAGCTTCAGTGTTGTTTAGCCTTGCAGTAAGAGGATTGGCTTTTGATCTTACTCTTCTTCTTTGTGAAGACAGCTAATGTAAGATATATTTCAGTAATTAGTGATTTTTTTGTATATCAGTTCTGTCCAGGAATGTGTAAATCAAGGGTTTGGCCTGCAGTTGATTTCATAGGAACTGCATTTGTAAAGACTAGATCTGTGCAGGATCTAGCATTTTTGTTACACCACATAAACTCTGCCACTTCGTATGTATGTGCAGTATCACAACATATGTACAAAAGAGGTGGTGTTTTTGTCATTTTTCCTTTCCATAATCCCCCACCCCCGATGCCTGTAGTTCTGTGATCTGATTAGGTCTTGAATGAGTTCCATCTCTCCTTCTGTTCCATATTCTGAGAGTGCAAGGGGTGTTAGCTGTGACAGGTGTATTCTCTGTTAGCTGTGATTGGTGGCTCCTCAGATTGCAGCAGCAATGGGCTCATCAGGTTGTAGCAGAAGGTAGGGGCACAGAGGACGTTGTTTTCATCAGACAATTTCTGTATACTATAGATGGATTTAGCTAAATAAAAGGGGGATTTTTCTTCATTTGGGGGGATAATGCGTGAATTTGGGGGAACATGGGGAAAGAAAACAAAAAGGAAGGAATGATTGGGGAATAGGTAGTTCCTAAAGAAAGAATATCTTCAGTATGACTCAGGAAGAAGAATGATAATTGGCTTCAGTTGCTGCACGAGAATTTAAGTTCTGTAGTCAGACAGTGATCTAAGAAATGGCAAACAGTGTAGCCAATGATAGTGCAAGTTGTGGTCCTGTTCTAGTCCAGTGTTTGTTACGCTCTAAACTAGTTAGCCTAAATAAATTTTGAACAAACTATGTATGTGTGTGTGTATGTGTGTACATAGTTTGTTCAAAATTCTCTTTTAGCAGAATAACCCTATTTTTTCCTCTGTTGCGTTTTCTTCTTTGATTTTTTATTTCAATTGTATTGAAAATATTTACACCATTCTGTTAATTACTGAAGAAAACTTAAATCATTAGAATATTAGAAAATAATTTAAATTATTAGAAAGCCAGAGCCAAACATAAAAGTATGCATTTGAATCTTCCTTGATATTTTGGTTGCAGGGAATAATTCGTTTGTTATACTGTATTACATTGTTCTTGGGTTTTACTATATCTCACATGAGTCTCTTTAGCAAGGAAAAACAAGATACAAATCGTATTAAACAGATAGGATTGACAGAAACCAGATACAGAAACATAAGATAGCTTTTGAATGTTAACAGTTAAAGACCAATCATGCCATAGTTTCTTAACCCTTTGCATAAAGTTTCTTCTTTATAATGTAGTTAGGTTTTTGAAAGGTTCTTAAACCTGATCATTGACGTATTCACCAGTTTACCCATGTCATTGTTATCCCACTTCTTTTCAGTGTTTTCCCAAATATTGCCTGGCCAGATGTTTCTGGCTTAAGAGACAAAAACCACTCATCAATTCTTGAAATTCAGCTTGGGCATTTCTCAAAATTGGTCCAACACTCATGGAGCTATTTTCTTGAAGCAGTTTGTGAGCTTGACTCTTGGAAGTCTTAAATAAATAAATAAATATATTTTATAGTATACTGGTTCTTGAGGCCTTTGTCTGTAAAATTAAATAAGTAAACATTAATAGGATTCTGTTTGTAGTAACTGCTGAAATTTATGGCTTCATCTCTGTTTATGTTGTATATTGTGTTGTTTAATTGTATGATAACCATTCTCTGGTTATATTTTTAATGAAACGTTGTATCCTCTTTCGGGAGGATGGAGGAAGATAATACAGTACTATGAAAGGCATCTTATTAATAAATACGTAATAGCCACTGTCACTTTTATATGTAACTTTGAATTTTAAAATAGTACCAATAATTGAAATTAAATTAAATCTCACTTTTAACTAAAGCTGTATCATTTCTGTTGCTCTGTTTCTAATCATTGTAAGTTTTTTTTTTATTTTGACAATCAACATGTATGTGATTTCTTTTTTTTGTTTGTGTAGCCAATCAAAAACCCTCCTTCAGGGAAAAAGTATGTTAGATGTCCATGTAACTGTCTGCTTATCTGTAAGGATACATCACGGAGAATAGGATGTCCAAGGCCCAATTGGTAAGAGCTATAAAAATTTACAATCTGTGTCTTTTTTTTTTTTTTTTTGCTCTTTGCTTTCTCACACACATACAAAACATTGTGTTGATTAAATGTGGAATAAATAAGTAAATACTATGATTTTGGCTGTTTTCTTTGTTATATTTCATATAAACTGTGACATTAACCTATGCAAGGCTAGATGTAAAGATAAATATTTATTCCTGCCATTTATTAGATGTAAAAATAAACATTTATTCCTGCCATTATCAGCTATAAATTGATCACAGGAGTAATGGGAGATCAGTAATAATGACAGGAAAAAAGGAAGATTAGTACTGTATCTGTTGCACACATCAGTTTTCTTTAAGTATGGGAGAATGTGCATAATCTCTAATGGAAGGTATTCATGCTTTCATAGAAAATTCATAAATGCATAAGTTCATTACAGTATCATTATTGCTGTACAAATTACCCCAAATTACTTTTTAAAAATAAATAAATAAACAAACAGTGCTGGCAAAACTGTGGTCATATTAAGAGAATGCCTGTCCCTTGAATACACTGATAGAGAATTCATACACGTGTCTAGTAAGAAAAATAAACACTGAGTTCATTAGTATTTACTCTCTGGTAACTGCTCAAGAGAACTTACTTTTTAATGTTTTTTGGACTACATTCTTAGAAGCCCAATATAAATATAAATGTAATAATTGAAATAAATATATGAAAATAGATGTATGCTAGTTTTATGAAGATTCCACTTTTAATACTAGTACAGGAGCACTATAAAAGAGGGTTATGATTCAAGTTTCTGCCTCAAAACTAAGGCATACCTTATCCTTCATTCCAGTCAAGGAAGTTTTATTTATATGTTAAATCAGAGAGGCAACTGACAGTACTGCCATTGTGGTATTAACTTTGAGGGACAGAACAGATTTCTTTGGTACAGGATGATTTTTTTTAGCTAAAATATTCTCTGCAAATTAGCATCAAGGAAAGATGGAATAGTGGTTCACAAGGACAACAGCAGTGTATACGACAGTGACTCAGCTTCAACATCTTCCTAAGTCATACATATTGTGTTGGCTTTGGAGTGGCATGATATGTGAACCCAACCATTGTAGCTTTTAAATTGTGGTTTATGGCCCACTGTTAGGCATGAATCAGACCACTATGTCTTTTTTGATGAACAGTGTATGAGTAGTAGTATAAACTTTAATTATAATCTAAGAGCAACTGTCAATTATGCTTTGCACATACTGTAATCAGGAAGACATTCAACACAGAAGTGAAGGGAAAATAAAATTCTTGAACAATTAACTAAACTGAATAATCTTTAGCATAACTTAGAGAGCAGTATAACAAAAGAGAAGAAAAATACCCCTTTAACAATAACCTCCTAACAGGAATAAATATGGACCATAATGTAGCAATCCGTCTAGAAATGTCTGGAGACAAATCAGCTAGTAAAAGGAGAGTATTTTCCTCTGGCCTACCAAGATGAATAAATAAAAGAGCCATTATTAAATCCATGTACTACTTCATATAGAATGGGTGTGCATAACTGTCTCAGTTTTCTCCATGAGGTTTGAGCATATAGGTAGTTCTCAACATAGGATGGCAGTTGGACCGGAATATCCATCACTAAGTGATGCAGTCGTAAACTGCGACGGCAATCCTTGCAGTCCCGGTTGCTGTCATTAACTGAATCCCATGATCATTAGGCAAGGCAAATTCCTGCCAGCTTTCCATAAACAAAATCAGTGGGGAAGCCAGCAGGAAGTTGCAAGTACCAGGCCCACAGGCAGGTAAGTAGCTGCTGCTGGGTGGGGGAGGGAGCAAGGAGTGGGTGGGGGTG